ATAAACAAATAACATGACTTTTTGTTATTGAAGTTATACTTACATCTTTTGGCAAGTTTGGAATAATGAAGTTAGCTAGCTGCCTTCCTTTTACAAACAGAGAGTAGTAACATACGGGATGAAATCTTTAGCTATTTTTGTTCAGTTATGCCAAAGAAGTATTACTTCTTACGTGCGTACACACACATTTTTTTTGTCAAATAATGAAGTATGAGAAGTGGACCCTACAGACATTGTCCAGTGCCCTGGCCGAATATGGTCTCCGCCATGTTCACCATATTATTCACATAAAGCCCTAGGACCCGACTACAGAGCCACCTACCGGGTCCAGTGATGAATCTTAATTTTAAGTCATCCAGGAACCCGATTAAATACACACAAAAAAAATCATCAAAATCGATACAGAAGAATTATAGATGTACGTATATTATACAAAATATATATTATTTTATTTGCACTAATACTTAAGTCAAATAACCTTTTCTTTTAACCTTTTAGTTACGTTTTGATGTTTAGTATAGATTTCTCAGAGATGAGATATTTTCCCGCAGTAAAAAGTACCCTATATGTTAACCCGGATAACCAGCTATTATCATACCAAATTTCATTAAAATCTGTCCAGTGGTTTTCTCGTAATGCGGCCACAGACAAAGACAGACAGACAGACAAAAATTCTAAAAACTACAGATTTGGCCTCTGTATCAATAATAATGACTATTTCAATAAGATTTTCTAAAAAATATTTATAGTACAGATTCAACTCAGTTAAAATTTTATTATAGGTATGTATAGATAAACTTACACATTATGTCTTCTTCTAGGTTATTGTGTTGGTAAGGACCTACTTATTTATAAAACGGTTTAATTTTAAACGATAATAATGGCTGATTTTTCAAATAAAACTATATCCATTACTAGCGATTCACCCTAAATAGCTTCACTCAGGTTCGTCCCTAGTTGATTCTTTAAAGTGACTTAACTTTTTTATTTATGAACCGATTGAAATAAAACAGGTTAAGCCCTTTCTGAGATAAGCGCGCACAAACACACAGACAAACAGACACATAAAAGACAAACCGACAAAAATTCTAAAAATCATTGTATTGGGTTCTATTGCGTTAATAAAGACCCTCAACAATACTTTTCTCAAATATCTTCCCTGTACAGACAGCGATCAGTTACACTTTTGCTATATGTAAAGATATAGCAAAATATAGTTGCGTTTTAATAATTTGAAGCACTTAACGGTTAAAATGTTTAACATTTATACGTTAAGTTTAACCATTTACAAGAATGTTAATACATACATTGTGATATGCATTTCATTCCGACAAACGGAAAGCAAATATTGTTAGAGCGATAGCGCGACGTACTATGAACGGCTTTAGTCGTGTCTAGTAGGTATAGGTTCTAGAAAAATAAATATAAAATTTCTTCTTATCTCTTTAATAATATAAATATTTACGACTATATTTAATTTAAATAATTTAATAAATTTGTTTGTTCGTTTATCCTTCTTTAGTGCAGTAACAGAAAAATTACTGCAGAATTTTTATGCGTCAAGGAAGTATGTTGGTAAATGCATATTCTTTTCGAAAAATCGCTCTATTTAAATTTTCGTTAAAAGTATATTTAAATTAAAGGAGCTTTGAATCGTGCTTTACAATATCTAATAATAAATTTCAAATAATTATCCAATACAATAATAGCTCGTCACCTGCTTACATTTATTGAGACGAGCAAACCTTAAACAAGTAACCATCATAATTAATCCAGGATATTTTTAATCCATAATCTTTCGACCATATCCGCTCTACGTATACGCGTGATTGAGTAGCCACAAAGATATTTTTAGTAAAATTATTTTTCTGATTATTTCGCGGTTTGTTTTGATTTTTTTAACCGATTTCCAAAAAAAGAAAGTTATCAATTTGACACTATGTATGTTATAGTATTGGAAATGCAAAATATTAACATGACAATCCATTAGGGGTTCCAAATAATTATACAATATTTTATAGGTATATGTATGTATGTAATTGTCTAGGTACGTGTGTGTGCGTGCGTGCGTATGTTCACCACGTTTCGAATTTTTTACAGCAAACATGGTCACGGAAGAGACTAAGAAGTTTGACGTCTCAAAATATTGCAAGAAAATTGAAAAAGTTGAAAGTATGCTATAAGGCATACTAAGCGTCGCGTCGTACGGAAATAAAAAAACTCGGATAAATAGTTTTATTTAAAATATCAAATATTCGCGTAAGTCCAAGAAAATAACATCTTAAAACTTTCTTATTTATAATACGTATCATTATCCATTAATGGTATAAATTGCTATTCTCTACATGGGCACTTTAATAGGAAGCAGTTCTTACGAGTGACAAATTTCGCCATGAAATTATCATATAACTTAGAAAAGAAGAAAATATTTTATTAAAAATTTTATATCACTTTAAGTGATAAATTATAATCTTCTGTTCTTCGTTTTTGCAAATAACGCGATAATATCGTCAACATTAATGGATATGTATTTAGTACCTAATGCTAGACCACAAATATTCGCACGTAGCCGTGTTTTAAGACGCCGAAAAGTAAAAAATGATTGTTCTGCTTTTGCTGTTGGTTTTGGGGGATGGTCATGACCTCCATGAGTCATGACCTGCTAGATCCGCCCTTGTGCATAGGTGACGTTAAACCATAGACAGTATATAGAGTGGACTGAGTATTCTTTGCCAGCCGTAAGTAAAAATGGCGGAAAGGCGCGACAGAGACAAAACGAATGTGCGGCCACAAGTCTTCTGTATTAATTGAAATAAATAATTAATGAAGATGAATATTTACGACCATTTTACATTCTATTATAATATTATGATTTTATAATTTAATATTATTATATATTTTTTACATTCCATATTATATGAATTCAAATTAGAATAAAATACAGGTTATTGGCCGCACGATCGCTCTCTCTCTCTCTTTCTAAAGAGTGATCAAAGTCATCATGTATTGCTCAGTCCATACCTCTATATACGTCTATACTTTAAACATACATGTGTAACACCCACAACTTCACTTTGTTTGCCAAGCGGACAAAACGAAATTGTATTTTTTTTTAATGTAACGTTAAAATTAGAAGGTAGTAGCATACTGAGTTAATAAGAATTAATGCAAAAGTCTGCACACGTAGGGTCCATTCGAAACGAGCGTTATTTTAGTTTAAAATAAAACTACACATTTGTAAGTTTTTTTTTATTCTAACAAACAGTTTCATTGTACCACAGAACATATAATACTATACTAGATTGTAGGTACACAATCAAAAATGCTTTCAGATAACATTAAAATATTTTTTATACAAACTTTTAATTCTAGGTATGAAAATATTACAGAATTTGGAAAATATGTGTTATTTGTGTAATATCTCTATGATTATTACCCGTTGACTGACATTAACGTCAATTAACGTATATATTAAACACTTACATACTACGTTGAGTCAAAAGCTTATAGACAACGTTTTAATTTTTTTGAGCGGTACCCTAATTTTTTATAAAATAACATAGCCTAAGTTACTCATTATAACATCTGCTATCTACCAATGAAAGTCCCGTTAAAATTAGTCCAGCCGTTTTGAAGATTAGCCAACAAACAGACAGACTTACAAAAACTTTTTAAATTGTTTTTCTTATAAGGTACCTATCATATGTATAAAATTTCATATGCATTAAGTAAAAAGCTGTTATTTTGACATTATAAACAGACAATTCAATCTATATTTCTATTCTATCTTTTATATTTATTTCTGTATAGAAGATAGGTAACGTACCTATTACTATTTGAATTTTTCGATAGACGCCATGGATGGCAAAAAATCAAAATACACATGAGGTTCTAAACATTTTTTAGGGCTTGCTGTTGGATTGTGCGGGTAACACCGATATGCCCGCAAAGTATATATAAATATATATATATATATATATATATATATATATATATATATATATCCAGACTATAATCTATCTCTGTGCCAAACATCCAGATCCGTTCACGTTCTGGGGTGATTGAGTAACAAACATCCATCTATCCAAACTTTCGCATTTATAATATTATTATTAACATTATACAACGACTCAAGTGACTATCGGTCGAAGATAGTTCCTATGACTTAACGATAGCTCGCTGCCCATTATTATAAACAAATTTATATACAGCTAAAAATAATAAATAATATTATAATTATTTCTACAATAAAAAAAACACTCCAATTTTTCTACTCATCCCCTAAGTAAAGATCAAATTTTAATTAAGTATATACACATTTTCGTTAACATAACATGTTACATGTTACAATTTCTTACATGTTATATTAACATATTAAAAGTTATTATAACATAGCACAATATGAGACTTTTTTGGAGAAGTTTTTGTTTAGATGGCGCCACATAAGTATAGAAAGTAAGATGAATTATTACTCTTTGAATACAATTTTAATTTGAAAGGTTTCTAGTTATGTAATAATGATAGTCACCCCGTTTAAACCAAATGCTTTCATAATTATTAGATTATTATAAGACATACAGCATGCTCAATATATATCACGTACATCTACAAAAAAAATATATGTTTATGCATAACAATTAGAGGAAATAGTCATGGTAAGATTTTATTGTGACATTGACAGCTTACGTCAATCCTATATAATATTTTAGATATTTGCAGGTGGCACTATCAACAAAAAGGACACCATCCATCCACCACCATAAAAAAATACATGTTAAATATTGCAAAATGGCAGTAGAAATTAGTCTTTATATTATAAAGTCTTTTTGATTAATCTAGAGCTTTTACACTATTACATAAAAAATATCAACAGTTACTTTGCATGAAAATGTATATAACATTTGATATAAAAAGAAACAATAAAACAAAATAAACAAAAAAAAAACGCATTTAATGTGCTAATCAAGTACAATGGTATCGACAATTTGTTCGGTATGTCAGCTGGCGTGGTAGAGGCCAGCTAAAGCGTCTTGCAGAGCTCTGAGACATGGCAGAGTTGATGTATACCCACCGGCCTTCTCTGTTTCTGTTTCTGCCCTGAAATATTATTTTATTGTATTATTTATCTGGCCGGAATTACCGTTATTATATGCTTAATAAGACAGTGGTAGCTTTTGGGAAACCGAGTGAAGCTGGTTCAAATCCCGGGTCTCGCACCTTTGATATTTTCATATGCGAAACCTGCTGGTATGGGAAAACCTAGCAAGTTTTCGAAAGACATGTGAAGTCCGCCCGCACTTAGCCAGCGTGATGGGCTATGGCCTGATCTCCTTTTTATCGGAGAAAGAACCATGCCTAGTAGTGGGACGTTAAAAAAGGGCTGAATACACAAACATAATATCCTCACTATGTAGAAACTAACTATTTAATATATCAACCTCTTCTTTACATTAAGGAAGTTATATTACGTGTTAACACCTCCAGGTAAATTTCTAAGAAAATAATTAAAATTCTAAGAAATCTATTGTTTCGCCGGCGTGTCCGCGGTCGTGGAGGGGTTAAAATGTTGCTTTGAATCAATGAAACTAGTACTGAGTACAAATGCCTCATCCCATACAAAAAAATTGAACTGCGCTAATTTGGGCTATTCTTTGGACTATTTTTTTTCCTTGAACAGATAATAAATAATAGATGTCGTTGAGTCGCAAATAGTTAAACTGTTTTATTTTATAAATATGTGCACTGTGGTAAATATCGTAAAATTTATCCTGCATTCGAATAAGAAAAATCCAATGATTAACAATTTTTAACCATAATAAACAATTAATAAAAAGTAATATCGCCATCTGTGAATATACACAACAAGCCCATAATCTAATTGCTGATATTTCAATTATCTGTAAAATTACGCAAATTTGATTTGCAGGCGCATTATTTCGTTTCATTTCACTAAAAATATTGCTTAAAACAATACTACACCTTTTTATGATCTTTTTTTATCTTTGGTTAATTTAACACAACTTTGATAACAAATCGATACATGTAACATCATCTAATCACATTTATTTAAACTAATTTTTCCTTCTTCCCTAAGCTTATACCATACAAAGAAATTAGATACAGCTAATTAGGGCTATTCTTTGGTCTATTTTTGTTTACTTGAATAGATAATAGATGTCGTTGGGATGCAAATTGTCATTTTATTTAATAAATATGTGTTGAATATTGCAAAATTTATCCTGCATTTATTTAAACAAATATTAGTGAATTTAAAAGTTTTGACTGATGTTAACAACTGACAAAAAGTAAAAGCACCATCTATGAATATACTCTACAAGTCCATTACCCAATAGGGAATATGCGTGATTTTTTTTTACTTTTTTTTATACAGTAGCTAACATCACTGTATAATTTAAAAAAATATTCTTAACGTGACGTCACAGTATCATACATAGAAAAATAACTACTTTAATTTGTCATTTCATGTCAACGACTATAGTGTGACAAAATAGCTAACTCCTCTGTTATAACAATACTTTAATGTCATATTTGGTCTCACCAATGGCGTACGTTTTAATTACTTTGAATTTCCCACCTACATTTGCACTGTTTAATAATTATTATCTTAATCAAATAGAAATTACTGTAAAAAATATTGATATAGACTTCATTCATAAGCAATAAAGGTTATAAAAAAATATTTCACCTTTAATTAAATCACATGCATATTCCCTATTGCCGATTTTTCATATAATTAGTAAATCTATGCTTTCATTTACAACCATTATTTTATTGTTTATTCAGAGATTTTTGAAGTGAAAACTGATTGAAGTTTTGGATAGGGAGTATATATATATAGGGAGTTCATGTCAATCGTCATCGACATGGTCACGTGACGTGTTAACACTAACACTCAAAAGTGCCGATAGATATCAAAACCTGATAAATGTAAACAGTTTTAATTTACAAATTTTAATTTTAGATAAAACAATTAATTTGAACATCCAAAAATAAGAACTGTTTGTTTTAAGTTTTCGCTTTCGTCGGCAGTCCTCATGACTGCTTTTTTTTAACATCATAATAATGATATATATGTATACCATAATATATACGCCGATAGTTATGTTGCATAATGCACACGCATCACAAGTGAATATTCTAACAAATGTTAATCTAGCTAGCGTTGAAAACCTAACATCTATATATCTTAGTAATTGTCACGCCCTGTCCGCACTGCGATATTTCACCGCACGTTTTTATTCTCGCAATTCTGTAACACATTGAATCTTATAGGAGTATCCGCACTGGCGGTTAAAAATTCACGCGGAAAAAAATCTGTGATTTGATGCAAATTGAACGCGATGCGGCGCGGATATATTTCCGCGCGAATGTTTTGTACAGTATATAGAAAATTGGCTATGGCCGCACTGCGAAATAAAATTCGCGCGTTTCGCTCAGTCGTGCACCGACGTTATTGGTTTATCGAATGATTTTGTAGTCATTCTGTAATATCCGAAAAACTTTTTACTGTATTTTCGCAGCTCTTGATATTTAATGTAGAAAAACATCATTTTAGATTACTAAAATGTCTCAGTAGATATAGTAGATTTATCATTTTAGACGTTTGCCTCAGTCGGGAACTGCATCAAACTGGCAAAAATCGTACGAAATTTTATTCGCAGTGCGTAAGGCCCTGTCCGCACTGCGATATATCACCGCGCGATTTTTATTCTCGCGTATTATATTCCGTGATCTAAATTGTACTTATTACGCATAGAAATTGGTTCAGTAGTTCCAGTTTATCAATTACTGTTTACAAACAAATCTTTCCTATTTAAAATATTAATATAGAAACTAATCATTTCATATATTTTATACTAGCAATTCATCGTCCCTTCGCTTTGGGTTGGTCCCTAGACAAGAACAATTCTATTCCACGGGAACTGCACATTTTCCAGCATAAAAAGTAACCTATGTTCTATTCCAAACTATAATATATATCTGTGCCTTTCATCCAGATCCATTCAGCCATTCTGGCGTGAAAGTGTAACAAACTCCATCCATGCATCCTCACAACCTTTCACATTTATAATTAGTAGGATTCTTTAATTCCCACAACTTACCTAACGTGATGCAAATACCCGTTATTCATGATATCCTCAAGAGAAGGTGGGTCGGGACCAATTCTGTCTGGTATGATGGGCGCCTCATATTTGTACAGAGGCCCTTCTTCTATCAAGGGAAGCGGTTGCTGACCTGAGCCTCTCGTGAATTTCACTCCACTTGAGAATTGAGTTACCTGGAATTGTTATAAAGTGTAAATTTATAATTCAATATATGTATATTGAAACCTTGTAACATTCTTTTATTTAGCTTCATATGTATGTCTGTCTTTCTTGATCAAAATTTTTAAATTCAAAACCACATCCATTTGAGTTTATTCGGTAAATTTATTTAACTTGCGAAGCAATAATATGGCACTAAGGAACTGATCTGATAATGGAGCCAAAAAACCATGGGAACTCGAAAATTACATATATAAAAGTAAGTATATTTTCAAAAAATACTTTTTATAAAGCAAGTGTAAACAGAAATTTTACTTAAGCATTGGAATTTTTCTATTATTTAAATAAGACAATAGTGCTCTTATTTAAATGATGGAATTTCATCTTAGAATAAAATATCATTAAATTACTCAATTATGAACCTTTTCAGAATTATTAGATATACATTCTAGTATATATATTTTGTTAACATTAGCTGTTATTTTTTTCACTAGTTATAACTATTAATCATAGATATCATCATTTATATTTAATATTATGTTCAATAAAATAAAAACAAAGAGAGTCAGTCAAATTGAATATACAAAAAATATTGTAGTAAATAGTTAAAGAAATAATAAAAAATTTAAACATACTTTAGGTAAAACTGGTACAATTTCTTCCTGTTTGTTACTAGCAACTGTTTGAGCAAATGTGTTTAAAATATCTTTAGCATCCCCTTCGGCAAACATCAGCTCATCTATTAAAGCTTCTTTTTCCCTTATCTTTTGTTTCTTTGCCTCTTCTTCCATTTTCACAATTTCAGCTCTACGTAACTCTTCCATTTGTTTCTCTATCTCTAATATTTCCTCAAGCTCTAATTCTTCCCGGCCTGCAAAGTTTGTTAAAAATGTAACATCTCTATATATAAAAAAAATTGTAAAGTATGTATTGTTGTAAAGTATCTAGATTAACTTTAAATTATATGAACATGATAAAATGTTTGATGTTTCTGTTTTTCCTGAAAAAGATAACACATACTTATAAGTTTTGGCTAGTAAATAAAAAGAATCTCACCTATTTTTGCTTTATTTTTCATTATTATTTCTTTATTATCCTTTTTATATTGTTCTATTCTTTTGTTGGTGCCTACAACATCTATATTATTTACTAAATTAAATATAATAGTTTCAATTTCCTCCAAATAATCATTATACTCTCTTAACGTTGCAAAGTCTTCCTCTTTCTTGTTGAAATCTTTTAAAACCCTTTTTCTTATATCCATTTCTTTTTCAACCATAGAATCCTCAAAAAGTTGAACACGAAAATTACTTCTTCGCAATGGTACATTACAATCTGGACAGGAACCGGATCCTACAAATCGAACCATTTAATTTACCGGTTTTAGCAACTAACAAGTATTTTTAAACAAAAGTAATTATTAATAGAAGAAGTTTCTAATACTATGACACTTCATAATTATACTTTACCTTTTAAAAACAATAAATCGACACAACTTTCGCATAAAGCATGGCCACATACGTTTACCATCAATTTTAAAGATGGATTTCTGTATTTTGTGGTTTTACAGCGGGGACAAGCTTGGTCATCCATTATAATTTATTAATGTTAAAATAGGCTTTATGAAATATGCGCAATTATTATCATGACCCTATAGTTTCAAACAAATACACTTTATTTAACAGTGAAAATTACCGCTGCAAGTCTGAACTCTGAAGTATTATATTTGACAGTGACAACAATTTTTTTTGACAGAAAGGCTTATGATCAAAATCTCTATTTATAGAGTAAAAAACTTTATTTTAATTACTAATAATGTAAATTTTAAAAAACAAATCCATGAATTTAGACTTAATGCTTCACTTACTAATATTATTTTATAATTGCAACTATCCCTCTGTCTCTAAATTCACATTATAGGTTTTATAAATTACTATACGGCCAAAGTCAAACCTAAATATGATTTGGATAAAAGATTAAAATTAAATGAAATTGCTTCTTGGTCTTGATTTCATCAATGTGATGCTTCAATCATTTTAAATTTTTGCACGTACTATTTCAACATGTACCTACGATGCTTATGTTGTAGATGCATAATAAAAGATAAATACAATATACTTTCTGGCCTTTAATATTCTGGACAATAAGTCTACTGGACATTGATGTTTATTTACAAAGTGAAGTAGAGATATTATATTTTATTATTTAATACAGTTCTTCAGCGTCTTATCCTTAAGCTAACTTATAAGTTATTGTTATTTTATAGTAATATTTATTATTTTAATTTATCTGTCAAATTCTGAGCCAAGTAAACTGCGATCATTGTCTTTTTTAAAAGAGAAACCAATGAATGAAGAGAACAGCACATTATTTTTTATTTTTAACCAATCACAGTCAACCTCAAGTTTTTGACATAAGTTTACTAAAAATAAATATAAAAGTAAATGTTGTGAATATTTTATTTAATGTAATTTATGATTTTCTGTAGATTTATTATTATTTCATAATACTAAATTCACTTATTTAATATTTAATATGAATTTAGCGGTTAGGACTATCTTGACAAATCGGGCATTTAGGTTATGTGATAGGCTTTCGTATAAATATTTACAAATTCCTATTGCTTCAAAATGTCCTGTTATACAACGCCGAAATTATTGCGAAGATCGCACAGAAACGAGAAGATTACCACAATTAATGGAATTTCCACCAGTAGTGTGGCCTTCATTTTTTAAATTCATAAAAAATTGGATGTTTGCAAACTTTATCATCAGACCTTATTTTGAATCTGAATTTAGTTTACATGACTTTGTTGAAGCTTCAAAACATGCAGTGGAGGTTTGTTTTTTACTTTTACGTTTATTTTAGTTTTAGTTTTTACGCAAAGGAAAATAATTACTCCAATTTTCGACTATTTTCAACCTGTTATATGCATTGATTTTTGAAAATATTTTAGGTCGTTTCAGATAGTCTGCAGAGAAGCGATTTTAAGTCAATAGAAGGACTTGTAGATAAAGATGCTATTGCTACATTAAAAGAAGCAGTTTCGAAACTTTCAGTTTCACAAAGACAAATGTTATCAATTAGTAAAGAAGATATTTTTTATGCTTTCCCCTATCAGGTAATAATATTTTAAATAAAAATATTTTAGTAATATCATCGAAAAATGAGAATCCTGAGGAATATAAACATATTTTCTTATAATTTTTAAGTGCACTGAGAAGTTGAAGAAAATATCTTGTATAAATATGTGGTATTACCTTGGTCACTGAACTTACAGAAACCTGAATAAAAAAATGTACGCAATATTCTTTCCACAGTTAATTTAGCTATACTAAACTAAACTTGCACTTGATTAAATGTTACTTTGGCTTAAATCTAGTATAAGCTCTAATAAAAACTTGTTACTTTTATTTTAGGTAGGAGTGATGTTTGATGATTCTGACAAGCGTTGGGTAGAGATTACAATGTGCTATCATGTTTTAAGGGGTCTGAAACAAATGCAAGAAACAGGAGATTTACCTCCTATCTCATTGGGGTATGTACCATACTTGTTATTGTTTTATTGAAGAACTTCTTTAGGCGTGACTGTAGGATAAGTCAATACATTGAAAAAATGAAAGTCACAGAAATGAGTCAAATTTCTTATTAATAATTTAAAAAATATATTATTAATAATTTTATGATTATTATTACTTTATAAAAATGAATATTTAATAATATTGAAGTTATAAAAATATTATATTTTGATTTGTTTTAATTTGTGGTATCTGTCACAACACCAAAGAAGTTTTACTTCTACATGCATAAATGTTACACACACTCATATAATTTCTGTTGCAGAATACCATTAAGTTTCTTTTATTAAAATTAATGTATTCATTTCAGAGTGCAGCCAGAATACCAAGACCAAATATTTATTCTCAACTATCGCTTTATAAGAGAGTTTACAAAAGGTGTGGAAGATAGCTGGTGGGTCAATATTGTCAATCACTTCCAACCTCAAACACTTGTTAAAAAATCACATTAAAGATATAGATTATAGGAACAAATGCTTTTAAAACGAATAAAAATGTTGTTATTTAATATTTTTTAATTCTTTTCTTAGAATTATATAAAATTTCTTTATATTACATACAAAAATACAAAATAAACTCCATAGCAAAAAATCGCTTTAATTAGTAAACTTAAAATGAAAAATGTAACAAAATATATATTACAAATTGTCATAATAATTTAGAAATAAGAGGAAAAAATATAATGCTGGCAGTTTCAATCAAATTTCAATTATATTAACAATTCCCATTTGTTTTTATACTATGTCATATACACACAAAGACTACTATTTACAATAAAGAAAATTTCAAATATACTTTATTATATATACAAAACAAATGTACACTTAGTTATTACTGTACAAGTCATGTTCGCGTGGAATAGTGGCAAGATTGCTAGCCGCGTTCTCCCGTTGAATGGCAAAAAGATAAGAATTGTTAAACTACTATTTTAAATTAATACATATTTTTTCATTTATATGATGGTTTAAAACCTCACAGTTTTCTTTATTGCTTCCTTCTAAAATTTCTTTCAACTTAAGATGTAACTGATTATTGTCACCTGAAAGAAAGATAGACCTTATATTAGTCTTTACTACAATAAATTTTGTTATCTTTTAGTTCCGGAATTTTTTGAGTTTGTGAGGTTGTAGGGGGTAATCTCTGGAGCTACTGAACCGATTTAGATGAAATTTGGTAAGAAGATAGTTTGAGACCCTGGGAAGGACATAGGTTACTTTTTATCCTGGAAATCATTCCTTACGGGGGTGAAAATGGGGATGAGAGTTTGTATTGGGAAGCAAGGTAGGGACAAACCCGAGCGAAGCAAGGGTGAGTCTCTAGTTTACCAATAATACTAACCTTTTACAGGATCATATAAAGACCTCTTAGATACTCCACATTGAACTTTAATAGGCTTTTGCTTTTTAAAAGAGTTTTCGACATCTAAAAATTAAGCATACATAAATACGTTACAAATATTTTTATTATAATGTAATAAAAAATATAATATATTTTTTGAATTTATGTAACAGATAACATAAAATGATGCTATATATGAAATTTTTAATTTTATTAATAATTACTTTTTTTTTAATATTTATGTCCAACTGTAGTAAAGTAGTAAAAATTTAATATACATATCATAAAATCAGAATATAATACCTTCATGCACTTTATCTAGAAGAGTATTTATATCTAAATTATCTTCTAATTTTGCACAAAGTGCATTTGTATATTGACTTGCACCTGGAACTATTCTGTCTGTGTCGCCAGTTTTAAGTTCATACGTAATATTGTTATCAATGGTTGTAGAGCATTCAATTTGAAGAACCTCATATGCAGAATGTGAAGACTGTGTTGAGTAGACAATAATAAGATTGCTGTGTATTGTATAATTTTCCAAATCATACATGTCCTTAAATATGGTAGGGTTTGTATTTCTGAAATTATAGAAAACCAAAGCATTTATTAATCTATACTTAATAATAATTATAAAGAGAAACAAATTGTATGTTTTTTTGTAATGGACAAACTAAAAATTTGCTGAACCTATTTAGATGAAATTTGGTATGAAAATATTTTGAAACCCTGGGAAGGTTTTTAACCTGAAAATCATAATTTAAAGGATATTAAACTTATCGTATCTATGTATACATATATGTATATTTTAATATATAGTCTATCTATTACATACTAAATGTACCCACGGATGAACCCGAGTGTAGCGAGGGCGAGTCACTAGTCTTAAATAGTATTAAAAGATAAGAAAAATATAAATATATTCAACCCCAATTAGTAAAAAAAATATCATTACCTATCTAAATTAATTCTGCACATATCCATAATAAACAAGCATAGTTCCGGTTTACATTTTGCAATCTCTCTCAATATCCAGTTTTCAGTGACACAATGTGAACAATCTATGTTCTCTACAGGGCAATCTGTGCCAAGGATACATTTTGTATTTAATAACTCACAACCATGACCTGCATAGAAGATTAGGCCTGTAAAAAAAGAAACATGTATAGAAAATATGTTTGTGTAGATATAGGTACATATCTATACTAATATTATAAGGAGGTAAAATGTGTGAGTTTGTGACGTTGTAGGGGGTAATCTCTATCTATCTACTAAACTGATTTAGATGAAATTGTTAAGAAGATAGTTTGAGATTCTGGAAAGAAAATAGGATACTTTTTATTCCGGAAATCATCCTTTAAGAGGGGGGAAAATTGCAATGAAAGTTAGTATGGGGAACCAACCTAGGGAAAAACCCGGGCGAAGTGAGGCTGAGTAGCTAGTAAAAATAATATATAAAGACTTAAAAACTTTTAATGAGTCATAAATTATACAAAATAACTTACAGTAAGAATCTTCATGTATTTTAGAAATAATGCATGATAATATTTCCTTTAAAGTGGCACTTTTTGTGTTCTTTATTAGGACTACAATGAAGCCAAGATTGCGTAAATTACTGGCCAATGTCTCACAGTCTATACATGGTGTGGCTAATTTAGATAAGTGTATATATTTTTCATTAGCTATGAGTATTGCAACCTTAGATTGGGGCTGGTAATATGTTATTATTGTTTTAGTATTCTGTGCAGCATTAAGAATTTTTTTATATTCTTGTAGTGAGCAGCCGCGACGGTCAAGATATTTGATTAATAGTTCACCCGGTATTTTACTTTCTTTGAAAGATATACTGTAAAAGAATTATTACTTGTTTGTAGTTTAAAAAATAAAAGCTAAAATGAAACAAAATAATATAAAGTAAACTCACTTCAAATCGGCTAATTTTGCGATTATTTCACACAGTTCTACACTGAATTCCAAAGCATATTTGTATTCTTTATAAGATAATTTTTGCAGTAAGGACATGATTTTATTTTACACTTCGAGCAATACCTTTTAATTTTTGTCATCGATGGCAATAGCCATTATTCATTAACAAGCATGGAGGACCCCTATCCCAGTTTATAACTATACTCTTTGACTTATACTGTTTAGTGTATACTAGGAGTGAGTGATACAAATCGTATATAGTTTTTGAAACTATATATTGTATCGATATCGTATATCGCTATATCGGTCTCTGAAGTAACTATATATCGAGTAAAACACTATATCCGAACTGATTCGATGATACGACGAATAGACGATATGTGCGATATAAGATATTATTATTTTATACTGTTGCGCTTGATACAAACCGAGCGGGAGTGAAAGGGCGCGCGTGATTTACAAGTGAGATGGATGAATGAAGTGAAATATTTAGTTATGCACGCTGCCATTTAATTCTGAACTTTACGGTTCTGCAATATAAAGTATACGATATTGTCGTTTTTTTAGCGATTATGGTGTGACTGGATTTATATTATTTGCATGGTTCAATAATCGACTTTATATGTAGGACGTAATGACATAATATCAATAATATTAAGATATAAATATTAAACTAACCTTTTGACCTTGGAAAGACGAAAAAATTAAAAGCGCATTTTTAGGTGACGAATTTTTTTTTTGTTTCGAGTGCAATTATTGCAGCTAGGACATTGTTAGCTATTGTTCATTGATTTTGTTATTAAATACATATTTTTGATCAAAGAAAGTATTTCATTAATAGCGAGCATATATAAAATAAAAGCTAGAAAATAATAAAGAAGCATAAGTCCTAAGTCTGGGTAAAGTATGAAGGAAAGTTCATTCATTTTCATATAACTTAACTCAACATTCTTTCACTCGCACTAAAATATATGATATAATTATGTAAACACTTATGCACAAATTGTTCCGTATCGATATATCTAACAAACAAAAATATCGAAAATGATATCCGTATCGAGTTATCAGTACAATATATAGATTCAAAAAATATATGGTTTCGATATCCGATATCGAATATCGATATATAGTTTCGATTCGATATACAGCAAAAGCTATATCACCCACTCCTAGTGTATACATAATTAGTATTTGTCATCCATGTACATAATTTTCTTTAAAAGATGACTTTTATATATGTACTATAACATTACCGTGCCACAGATCAGGAACAACAACATAGACCATAGTCTTGTATGGCGTAAGAAGTTCAATAAAAAACAAGCTCATTTTAGAAAAAATAATAATAGTTTTAATTGAGCTAGTTATTATTTTTTATTTACTTTTAAATATTACATAATTTTGAGAGCAAATTAGTATATATCAAAAAATAATATAATGTAACGATTTAAACATCCGAACCTATCCACTAAATTAAAAATATACAATTTGACTTTGACACTTGACAGTTACATTTTCAATTCGTACAAAATAAAAATGGCTATTGGAGTGGATACGTCTAAATGGAAACCTAGGAAATTAAATGGAACCCCGGCTGGTAAAGCTAGTATAGTGATTGGAGTTGGTATTTTAAGTTTTGGAGTATTATGTGGTGCGTTTTATCAGTAAGTTTGTGGGTTATTTTTAAACCAAACATAAATTATTGTTATCCTTTTATTTGTCTGGACGTGGTTAAAAATACTGTTTGTTTTAGATTTTCGAGTGTTACAAGCAAATACAGAAAAGCTGTAACAGTTTTGTATGAAGATCCAATAGAAGAAGTAGAAAGGAAAATCTTGATTGCTAGTGGCATACCGATTAGATCTGGTGACAAAATTAGAAAATTACTGGAAGAAGAAGCTAGAACAGATTTGCCAAGTAAATAATATGAAAGAAAACAATTGTAGGTGGGTGTTGTAAAAAAGTATATTATAATGTAAATAAATAGTTAAATTATACACTTTGTTTTTTAATTGTTGCCAGTGAATCATGCCAAGTTATTAGCAATTATTTCGCAACAGAAACTGTAATGGATGAAAGTTTTTCGGACTTTCAGGAGAAAAAACAGTATACTACTGGACCAAAAATTACACAGAAGACTAAGCCCAAAGTTGTTAGGAAGAAACCTTTGAAAAGTAGAGCCCAGAAAGATATAAGGACTTTTGTGAAAAGCAAGGAAAATGATTTGGTATCATATTCTAAAGACTTTGACAAAGTTTGTAAAAAGAATGGTTTAGATGTTGATTCTGAACAATTACAGCTGGCTATTGCATTGTCAAAATCTCTACAATCATCATCAGATGGCAATAATTCAAAAGTAGCTACATCTCTATCTTCACAAGAAAGAACAGAAAAAATAAGACTTACTTTACAAGAGTATGGTTTTAAAATTCCTAATAAAAATTTGAAAACTGATATAAATAGAAGAAGAAAATTCAGGAAGCAGTATAAACTACTGCTTACATCAGATGAAGAGAAAAAACAAATCATTTTGGATAAATATTCTGAAGTTTTAGCAACAAATGTACATAAATCTCCTAAAAAAGATAATTCTAAAATTTGTAACAAAGAAACAGTTTTATATCACAAGGCTACAAGCATTCCTTTTGAATGCATTAAAAATAATGAGACTTTCTATGTAAAGGATTTACATTTTGAAATTTTACATGATATTTGTTTGTTACGAGATTGGTCAAACATTCCAGGTAGACCATCGAGTCCTATGAGAGAAAAAAATATTTACTTTAAATTCAATGAAATAAATTTTACTCAAGAAGAATTGGATTATATATTAAGTGGTTCTTTAAATACAACACAAGATATAGTTAAAAATAAAAATATAGGACAGATACAAGGTTCACAATCAAGAATGGGTGTAGACAATATATCAATATGTATTGATAATATGGAAGTTGAAAATGTCAGTAAAATTATAAATACATCAAAAAATTTACAGACCAAAGATGTTTTAGAAATAAATGAGATTCCTTTAGTGCCTAAAACATTATCAGTTACAGAACAAATTAGAAGTGTATCACCTGATCTTTTTGATGATGATTTATCACTTGTTTATGAAAAAAGTTCAAGTAAAGAAGCCAGTTTCAATTTAAAAGAACAAACAGTTTTTATGGATTTGACAGAATGTGTTGCTGATGTTAATAATGATTTATGTAAAACTAATATTTACATGTCTCATGAAGAAAATAAGAGCGAGAGAAAATCTAATGATTTTATGGAAATTACTGAGTGTGCCCCATCAAGTTCAAAACATTCACATGTAGAAGAAATAGATCTTACACAAGGCTATATATCAAATAAATTGAAAAATAATAAAACTTTGGATCTAAATAATTTAGAAAAAATGGATTTAACTCAATCTTCAAATTCAGATGCAGAGGATGATGCAGAAGTGGTTGATTCAAAAAAGAATCAATCTTTCGATGAAACAATTATAATAAATGATGATGTTGAACATTTTCCAGTATCAGCAATTGATATATCATGTTCTTCTAAAACCAAGAAGAATCAAGAAGTTATAGTCACTGAAAATGTATTAAGTGATAATGATTTAAATTTACAAGAACAACCTGAACTTATAGGGAATTGTTCAAAAGCAACAGAAGATATTATTCCAATAGAGCATAATGTGGAAAGCAGCCCAACTTATAACTATACTGATCATGTGTTTGAGCACTCCTATATTTATGACTGTGACAATTTCAACGAAGATACCAATCTCGATTTAGGTTGGAGCCCTGATCAAAATAATGACATTGAGAATGATACACAAGGTGCCTTAATCGACGTAATTAACGATGATAATAACAGTAAAGGTAAGGAAAATTCTAAAAGTTTAAATAAATATCCTGCAATGGTAAAATCTGATAAAGATATTAATTTTGCTAACAATTCCATTGTTTATATATCCAAAGAGGTAAATATTATAGAAAAGGAAAGTTCCTCCACAAATAATATGAGCGATCAATCATGTAATCATAGAAATATTACAGAAGATTTAGAAAACATTGATTATGACACCAAGAAGATGAATAGCATTTATGAAACTTCGAAAGATATTAATGATCATGAAAGTAACAAAGATTATGCTGAAAATGAACATATTGATTCTAACAATTTAGTTAATGCTTCTAATGATATAGATAAAAATAATATCCCCGAAGGAAACAATGAGAATTTAAGTCCGACAGATAATTATAATGACTATGTGTTTGAACATTCATATATTCATGATTACTATGAAATAAATTCGCCAGTTTCTAATGAAAATAATGATAATGATCAGAATGAAATCGATTTAACTCAAACCTCAGATGAAAATACTGCCCAAACCCAAAATCAAAATTCCCTCGGCAAGAAAGAGAATATTTCAATAGATTATGACGAGATTATTGATTTAGAAAATAAAATTGATGACAACGATTTGCACAAATCTATATCTAAGGCAAAAGAATCAACAGATGTTTCAAGCTCTAGTAAACATTCTGAAGTGTTTGAATTGTCAGACACGGAGTTTAACTATTCCCTACATCAATCAAGGTTCAGTAATTATGATGATGATGGGTTCGATGATATAAGTAAAGAATCTGGAAAGAGATCTAGCACAAAATTAAATAGATCAATGAGCGAAAGTGACTTAAATAACAGAGAAAGCCCTAAACGGAAAAGAAAATCTCATATGTCACAGAATACAACACCAATTAAAGATTTAGGACAACAATTGAAAGGTGCTTTGACTCAAACACCAGCAAGTAATGGGTATATAATAAAAACGCGTGATGTAACGCCAATGGCTGACTACGCGGCTATGTCGTCGCCAGAAAGGAATGAGGAGTTAAAAAGATATGGACTAAAACCTTTTAAAAGGAAAAGAGGTGAGTTTAGCTTTTATTCATTTTTTATGAATCCAAAGAAATTAACGTTTGGGAGCATGTTTCATAACTACCCTAATAGTGTATATATATGTAATGTATGGGAATATAATGTACATCTCACTTTGTCCTGTAACACCAGACAGGGACAAGTATATTTGGTTTGAATTGAACCTACAGATTTTTAAACACGGCTACTAATCGTCGTAGACCACACACGAAATATATTACTGTACATAAAAGCGTAAATATGGTCTATTACTTTTACACATCTGGTGATGACTGTCCGACATACTCGAGACAGATTGGGCACACAACCGAAGGCTTTATCTGTTCTCGAAGAAACTGAGATATTATTTCACCAATTTCTTATGGAATTGCACTCCGGACTGATATTTAGAATTTCTTGTCAGAAAAAGCCATATCTATTTTTTTGGCCAATCACTGGGCTTCCAATGCATACATTACCATTATATTTTTTGACTAAAGATCAAATTCGACTAAAGTAATTACATTTCTTTCTTTTTATCCAACAGCAATACAACTTCTTACGTACCTCTACAATCAAACACACCCAGTAGTAGAATCATGTGATATAGAAGAATGTGCGTCTTCCGCAAAGAAAGCAAAATACAACACAGAACAAGTACAAAAATCACCAAAAAAATCTCCTCGAAAAGCCTTAAAGTATTCAAAGAGTCCAATAAAATCATCTAATTTAATAAAAGATGTGGAAAAGGAAAATTTATTGTACATTCAAACTAAGGATGTTCCTGATATCAAAGAAATTTACTCTGAACCAGAAGATTGGGTTTTTCAAGCACGAGAAAAAGCTAAGGTGTGTTAATATTTATTTATCAACTAGGGTGAGTCCCTAGGTACGATTTTGTTCACAAATTCATCAGATTTATTTTTTTTCCACGAAACAATGTTTGTTTTTCTTAAATAAAAGTAACCAAGTCACTCCATATAACATCTCTTAGTGAAAATCCCGTCAAAATCAGTCCAGCAGCAATCAGCAGCAGGAGATTAGCCGGAACAAACAGACAGGCAAAATTTAAAAAATGTGTTTTTCCTATCAGCACCATACATATATAATTCCATATGCATTTAGTAAAAAGGTGTTATATCGACATTACGAATAAACATTTCAATTTTGTTACAAATCCCACAAACAAATTTACAAGCAGCTAATACCTTTTTTTTATTTTATTTTTCTTAAATATATTTTCAGGTACATTCATGCAGAGTTCCATTACATATAGCATTTCACAATTACGTATCGTGTCGCAAATATTTACGAGAGTCGATATTAAGATACGAGCCCGTCAATATTGATGTTATTCATAAAGAACTCGTTTCAATAGGCTATAGATATAATCCTAAGGTATGTTTATAATATGTAGACTTTTTTAAACATTTTAATCCCATTTATCCATGCCGCAGCTGTTCTGAAATTATGCGCGTACATACATAAATAGACTAGCAGAACCCGCGGCTTCGCTCGCGCTAAAATTACAAAAAAAAATGTCTAATAAAACACATAAAACATACCCTAAAATCTAAATTATACATTTAACAGTCATTTAACAATTACACGCGTGAAGCACTTAATCGAGTAATCATACGTAATAATGCCTCCACATCATTTTTGAAAAGAGCTGATACTCTTACACTGCCAGACCGATATCAACCAAACCTAGCTAAGAACCACCGCAAGGAAATTGGCTTTCAAATGAAAAAAAAACCGCATCGAAATCGGTCCATCTTGAAAGCTACGATGCCACAGCAGACACACACACACACACAGACAGACAGACAGACAGACAGATAGACATCGACGTCAAACTTATAACACCCCTCTTTTTGCGTCGGGGGTTAAAAAGATAGTTTCATACAAACTTTCATTCTCTATTTTACCCCCTTAAAGGAGAATTTCGAAAAATGCTAAAACACGTATTTATTTAATTTTATTGAAGAATATTAATACCAAGTTTCAAGTAATTCTGATGATAAATATTTTTTTGGATTGTATTATAACGTATTTTCCCGTGGGAATAAGATAATCCCCTGCGGTAAAAAGTATGTGTAAGCCTATGTCACTCTCCAGCCCTCCAGCCCTCCAACTCAAACACACAAAAAATCACGCCAATCTGTCACTCCGTTTCGACGTGAAAGAAGGACAAACAAACACTTTCACATTCATAATAATAAGTATGGATATTAATATGAATGTCAAATATTCGCGTAAATCTAAGAATAAAGAAAGTATGATATAGTCTGTCTATTCCATACTAACTGTTAAAACGTACCTACCCAGAAAAATATAAAGACATTTTTTTTAATATCTAATTAATGAAATACAAGCTAATAATTTTGAAAGAAAAAATATATTTTATCTTACATATTATGTTTTACAGAACTTTTATATCTAAGAAATATATTTTAATTAAGATATTCTCTATCTTTTTCAGGACCTGCTTAAATTTATGGATAAAAAGTGCATCACAGTGAAAACGGTAGATAACAATGCAAGAAATAGAAAGTAGTATAGCAATATAAAATTATGACTTATTTTATATACTTCTAGGGTTTTATTTTAGTGGTATTATGTATTTATTATTAAATCTCTACTATATTTTTTTTGTATACTTTTTAAATAGTTGATATTTTTTTTAAATACTTGAACGACCATTGGGTCTAGTATTCAGAATTTAGTAAGTTTTCATTAAGGAAGATATTATTGTTTATTAACCTTGCTTCGCTTGGGTTCGTCTCTAGTAAAAAACAAACATCCCACGGGAACCGTACATTTTTCCGGGATAAAAAACAACCTATGTGCTATTTCAGACTTTAATCTACCTCTGTGCCAAATTTCATCCAGATCCGTTCTGGTGTGTTTGAAACAAACATCCAAACTTTTGCATTAATAATATTAATAGGATTTTTGTTAAGTTGCCACGTAAAATCAATAAGGTTACCGAATAATAAAGAATACAAAATATATTTATTTTTTTATTTACAATTTAACATACTTTTTATGCTTACGACTGATTATGACAAAGTAAACAGTGCAAATCTCACATATCTATGTGGTTTAATATTAATAACTTAGCATTAAACACCAAGAAAACTAAATGTATTCAAAAAATAAAAAACAAAATAAATCCGCGAAATAATCCGAAAAGATAGTTTTATTTAAAATGTCAAATATTCGTGTTAATCTAAGAAAGTTTTAAACGTATTCAATTTACCCTACCTAATGTAAGGAGACAGAATTTTAGTTTGCTTTTAAATAATGAGATTCTTAATACTGTAGATTCCAGTTTTCTTGGGTATAACATAGGATCAGGTTTTCAGTGGAGCCCCCATCTGTCATCTCTCGCGAGTAGACTGAGCTCCGCTGTGTTCGCTGTTAGGAAAGTCCGGCAGCTAACAGATATTGATACTGCTAGACTTGTTTATTTCAGTTACTTTCACAGCATCTTGATTTACGGAAATTTGTTGTGGGTTAATGCATCGGATATAAAATCTATTTTTATTCTACAAAAAATGACTATTCGGGCAATTTATAACATCGGAGCTCGGGATACACTACGAGATTTTTTTAAGAAAACTGGTGTACTTACGGTTGCATCGCACGACCGCTGGCACAGCAAGTAGGGTTACTACAAGCTGAGCCAAACGTGTCGTCCAAAATATATATATTGCAATATTATGTTTGTCCGACAAAACATTCTTTGTATTTAACATTCAGTAATAGACACGAAATAAACATTAGAAATAAGGATAAACTGGTAACGCCTAGTTTTCGCCTTCAAAAAGTGAATAGATCGTTCATGGGGTTTAAAGTGAACGCATGTACCTCTAATAGAATTCCACAATCGATTTTGAGTTTGCCATTTAAACAATTTACGTCAATAATTAAAAATTTATTAGTGAATAAGGCTTATTATACTGTCACGGAATACTTCGTAGATATCAAATGTGTGGAAATAATGTCTGGTTGGGTCTCACGTAGGATAAATAGATAATTATTGTATCACAATATTGTACACAATTATTATTTTAAAAGAGCTACTGTTGAGTTTCTCGCCGGTTCTTCTCAGCAATACTGCCTTTCCGAGCCGGTGGTAGATTCCTCACGGACTGACTATACTCACATTTAATTTAAATTAAAAAAATGTAAAATTGACGATTCAAGAGTGCTTGTAAAAGTCTATTTGAATAAAGTATATTTTGATTTGAATAAGTTGCTTCCCCATACAAACTTTAATCCCCATTATCACCTCCTTAAGGGATGATTTCCGGGATAAAAAGTATCCTATGACCTTTCCAGGATCTCAAACTACCTTCTTACCAAATTTCATCTAAATCAGTTCAGTAGTTTCGGACCCTATTCGGTACAAACAAACAAACAAAAAATCAAATCATTCCTCTTTATAATATTAACTTAATAGATTACCAAATTTAAGTCTTCAGTATATTTTTTGAAATAAAAAAATGCAAAAGCATATAGATACACAATATATACGTAGTCTAGACGAATACAACTATTTATTGATTACTTGTATTAGAATAAAAACTATCCTATATCACTTTCAAAATAATTTTCTCCTGCAAATGTCCCATTGAAAGTAAAGTTTTAATTTTATTTTTTTTATCCCACAGATATTCTATGTTCTACCTTAAAAAAAATTACATCAGACAGTCAGGCTTAGGAAATATTTACAAAACGGCATTTTTTACAAACAGCAATGTCATTTATCATTACATAATTTTTTCATATATTATAATTGAAAAATTTATTTCAACACTATTTAATTTAGACTAATTCAATTCATTTCCCTTTGTTTATGGATTTTAAACATACTAGTTGAACAATGTTACATATTGAATTTGGTAATAAAACGTATTTTTTCATATTATAAATACGTAATAATCTGAAAGTTAGGCAGGCCACTTTTACAATGACATATTTATTTATTTTTATGTGTCCTGTAAATAGACATAGAGAGTGGACTGTGTATTTGATATTTCTTTGCTAGCTGTCAGCTAAAAATGGCGGAAAAGCGACAGGACAAAACGAATGTGCGGCCCAGAAGTCTTCTGTATTGATTGAAGTACGGTTAATGAAGATAGATATTTATAACCCTCATATTCATCTTATATCCCATTTTAATAATATTATAATTTTTGTATAATTCTATTTATTCAAATTGGAAAAAAAGACAGATCTTGGCCGCACTATGGTGAAAAGAAAAAAACAACATTTTGAGGTTATTTTAAAAATTAATGGGCCAACTTAAAATGTTGAGTAAAGATTTTTATCTTTTTCAAAAAAAAAAGATTTTTTGTAAGCTAAAAATTCTACCCCCAAGCTAAGAAAAAAAAATTTTTTTTCACTCTACCCTAGGCCGCACGTTCGCTTTCTCTCTTTCTACAAAGTGATCAATTTCATGACAGTATGGCTCAGTAAATACTCTATGTATACGAGAACTTAATTTTTTTTATGTGTCCTGTGAAAGCTAAAGCAGTATTTTTTGTGTAACGTTATTTCTTTAGAAGACCAGCTTGTTGTATCACTTGTCGCGTCGCATTGTTGATGTGACGGAATCTATCTGGACCTAATTGTATGCCACCATACCTGAAATGGAATGAAATAAATGATATAAATATATAATTAGTAACACAGATTAGTTATGTATAGTTAAAGATGGCAAATTTCTAAAATAGATATGCAAAACCATCGCTATTCTATACTAATATTATAATGAGGAAAGATTTGAATGTTTGTACCGAATAGGCTTCGTAACTACTGAACTGATTTATATGAAATTTGGTAAGAAGATAGTTTGAGACCCTGGAAAGGACATAGGATAGTTTTTATCCCGGAAATCATCCCTTAAGCGGGTGAAAATGGGGATGAAAGTTTGTATTGGGAAGCAACCCAGGGATGAATGGAGATAAGTCGCTAGTATGAAATAAAGAAAATGTACAAATAGTGTTTAGTGCCAAGGTGGACAAATACAAGTTGGTTTGTCAATACTAATTGACAGACACATTGTTTGATAGCTTACTGCTCTGTGATGTCATTGTACTAATTATCATCAGCCAATCCAGATCATTTTCAGTCACGTGAATTACCAGAGAAAAATAAATTAAGTTTGTAGAAAGAAGCTTATTGCATATCTCATAAAATATTTTTTTCGCCTAATTAATATGTATCGCTTTTAAAACCTCTAATCTGTACAGATGTCATTAAATAAAAACAATACTTTTCACACTGTCAAATAGCCTATTTGGTTTATAATTTAAGACTCAAAAATACAAATGGGCTTATATAAGTGTGGCGAGAAGTGTGAGACTTTTAACTTCTTTATGGAGCAATTACCGCTTACCATCTAGAAACTACAACCAATGTACTTTTCTGGTCCAGTATCTGAAGCAAATGCAGCATCCGCCCACCAGCATGAGTCTCTCCATCATCATCACAATCCTGCAACATTGTTGTACCTTTCTCCGTCTTCCTCTCTATTCTGTATGCATACATGTTGTGTGTCGCATTTAATATTTTCTTATTTTGCTTAAGTGTCATTAGGACTGCACTGTAAATAAATTTTGTAAGTATTAGTACATCTATATTTGTGAGCATGTTTTAACAAACACCCAGATTATTACACATTTATATGATTATGATTACAACTTTAATATTTTTATATTACGAGTAGAAAATATTCAAAGTCTAACTATGACTGGTTATTCTAGATAAAAGATATTTAAAAAACAAACACGGCATTGCATTGCTTTCTGTGTTACTTATTTCTCATGTCTTAAAACTTATATTGTTATTTAAGCTGTTTTAACATTAGCCCAACATAATGACTTAATATTTGGCACTATATGTCGTTCAAAACCCAGTTAGTTCAGACCAGGGCTCAGAACCAGTTTATACTAGTAAAGAAACGGTTAATTTCAGCAATGTAATGCTTAATTCATCACTCATTCATTAACTGGTTGATAAAAACGAATGGTTTAGTAAACTGAAATAATAATTGACATTTATTCTTACAGTAGTACAGTTTTGATAACGAAATAAACCAGTTAATTCCAGAAAACGTACATTTATCCTTCTACTAAGCATTAGAGAAAAGCATGTCCCATTAGCTAAAATTCGCCAAATATAAACTCAAAACTCATTTTAACATGTTAATTTATTTTCGAACATGGAACCAAAATTCATGAAAAACCGTTATCCGGGTTTTAACCGGTTAAAGAACGTAATGGAAACCTTAAACCGAAATGTCTTTCGTTTCAGAGTTAAAGACCAAAACCGGTTTAAAAGTTGAATGGGTTTCCGAGCCCTAGGTTCACACAAGCAGGTTTCCTCAAGATGATATCTTCACAATATTGGAAAATAAGGAGTAAACCTACTTGACGTCATCAACGCTGTGCACTTCAGCTGCATGGCCTTGAAATGAGCTTTTTCTGTCAAGAATTACTTCCCCATGTGTTATCTCTGGACAGTTATTTATAATTTCTAACTGAAAAAAATATAATAATACTGTGCTTATTTTATGCTTGCATCTACTAAAATATTTGTATAATTATTATTTAGTGAAAGTAAATAAAATTAGGTAAATTATGGGAGGATTTTTAGATCATATTTTTCTCTGATGTAAAAGAAGTGTGTGGTTTTGAAAAATATTTTTTTTAATTCATAAATTGACTCCTGAAATTAATTTAAATTTATTAATTATGCTGTATACATATATCAGTGTACCAAATTTCAACTTCTCTATCTAGCTCTTTTAAAGAAAATAGACTATAACGCATGAAAGCATACCAAAAGGCTTCCAATTTTCTCTATTCTTTTAGACACATATTTTGAAGTAAAATTTAGGTTATTTTTATTTTAAATGATTACATGGACCAGTAAATACCTGAGATAAAGCTTGTTTCTCATGTAGATCTTTAGCTGCCTTTTTATCTGGCTCAACTGGCTTTATTTTTTGTAGAACCTCTCTTATTTTTTCAACCCATTGAAATATAACTGTTTCACCTAAATTTTCTCTGAAAATAGTTAATTCTGAATTAACAATATATTTATATTTTTTAACATAGATCAAAATAATCTTTTTTTTTTAATTACTTTTATAACCTATATAGAGAAAGATTTATGTCTTATCTAATTAGTATTTCACTATGGTTAGCATTAATACAATTTTTTAAGGAACAATTAATCAGTAAACTCACAAAATATTCTTTATATTGTAAAAAATCTGTTTATAACTATTTTTCAACATAAAAATAAATTTACAATTGTGTTCTATATAAAATCAATATTTAGGTAGCAAATGTTTGAAGAATGACATTAAAAGACATATAATTATTATATTTCAATATTACTAAAATAACATTATAAAATCTATACTTACAGATATATTTCATCTAAAGAATAGTGCAAATTTTCTTTAGCTTTTCTATCCATCCAAGGTGCTGATAATTCGTACTTTGGTGGACTCATACTTGGATAGTCATCAGGCATGGTAATGTATAAAATAACTTCATTTTTATGATCCTTTACTTTAATGCTATATGATCTGGAAGATTCATTGTCAATTACCCAATCTTCACCATAAATTGACCTTAGAGCCTCAATCTCTTCTACCTAAAAAAAATATTTTTAAAATTAATGGATTTTTTAAATTTTTGTATTGCTTTTCATTCTATAATTTTTACATTCATTTATTAATGATTTCTTAATGTATTCGTTATGTTATAAGTCACTTAGAAACTTATGGCCATTTAAACATGAGAGTGGTATGGGGGGAATGGGGAGACACTCCTTTCGCTTCGCCTCTCCCTACTACCACCCTCCTGCCAAACGATTGCAAATCGTACCCAAACAATTAAACAGTGAAAATGTGATTAAGAACTTCATAGAAATTTACTTGTATTAATCATTAAATTTGACAATAGCGTGGTCCTTTAAATCCATAAACATTTCAAGGTACATACCTGTTTCGACAGATTGTCAGAGTCCATAATGATATATTTTCAGTAAGAAATTACCTCAATTTAAAAATATATTTATATTAGAGATAAAAAGTAAATATTAAATATCTAAACAGAATGTTTCTTTAACAAGACTAGTTCTATATGTATTGATGTATATAGAAAACTAGTTTTTCAAGTGTTGTTTTAATATTTTTTTATTTCAATTTTTATAATAGTTTCACCACTTCCATAATCCATAATATCATAGCAAGACTGAAGACATTGTCTTCAAGACAATGACAATATCAATAGTGTGTGACTTGTCGAGTACTGAGCAAAATAATCGACTAAGCTCGATTGTCCAATCTGTCGAATATTAAAATGTCATTTTCATGTGTTAAATTGATATTTTCAGTTCTATTTTTTGTCAACGAACTGTCAAATGTAATGGAACGTAATGGAAAAATCGTTAAAAACTAGAACAAAAAAACACCCACAATGAAACTCAATGTATAAATAATATTTTATTGGGGAAAATTTGGTATTCGTAATTTTATTCTGTAAGTGATAAATAATTTTACCTCTTGTTTTATTACAGCAAGGAAATGCATTGACGCATACCGTACCATACATGTTTAGATTTTTATATGAAAAACACCGGCTAGAAAAGCCAGTACTACTACCCACTAAAACCCAACAGGAATCTTTCTCGTCTTGATGGACCATCATAGGACCACTTATGCATCAACGTCCTGACAGCTAGCCTACCGACGAATACTACAACAACAAAAGGGTTATTCCAACGGATGATGGTGGCTACAAAGGCTTAATAGAGCTCCATTCCGGGCTGGATTATCGGACATTATAAGCCAATGACGGCAAAATATAAGACCTGTAAAAATAAAAATAAAGGACTGTGTAACCTTTACGTCCGGTTGAAGTGAAATTCCTTTAGGGCTATGGCAGATACCACAATTAAATTAAAACAAATCATAATATTAATATCATATCTTTAAAAAAATAGTAATAATAAATATTCAATTTTATCAATAATAATTATAGTAAAATTATTAATAATAAAAATATATGTTTATAAATAATAATTATTATAACAATATAAGTAATATATATTTTTAATAATTAATAATAAATTTGACTCTCACTTCCGCAACACTAATCTTTCCAACGAATTGACTTAGCCTTCAGTCACGCCTAAAAAAGTTTAATTTCAATAATCGATTTAAATCAATTAGATCACTTGCTAATAGGCAACCCTAGTTCATTTGACATTTAATGTCAGTTGATAGATATATCCACAGACCATGAACAAGGATATATCGTTCAAAAACATTTCAAACAATGCTGCCGTCATAAGAAAGAAGGCCGTAGCTAAGAATTTGGTCAAAAATTACTTATATGCAGTATCGGAATCAGCAAAAAAATGCTAGTTGATAGTCTTACTCATAAAGCTTATGCAGCTACCAGATACCATAAGCATTTTAATCGTAAATCGTAAGTGTGTGAAAACCAGTAGTAATTTTGACGTAGTAGTAAGACATAACTTTAAATATCTCGAAATCAACTTTGGCGAAGTTATGACCTTCTTTCTTATGACGGCAGAATAGAATTAACATTAAAAGTAAAATTATCTAATCTAATACCTTTTAAGGAACAATTCTTGTACATATATTTATTTATACCGGCGATCTCGAAAACGGCTCTAACGATTTTGCTGAAATTTGGTATGTGGGGGTTTTCGGGGACAAAAAATCGATGTAGATTAATCTTATGTCTGGGAAAACGCGTGTTTTCGAGTTTTCATGCGATTTTCTTTCGCATTATTCCACGCAAAATAAGGTCGCTAATTTCGCACGTTTGGGCACAAGCATCGTGGTCAAGCTGTCAAGACGCAATATTGACATTTACAGGTCCGGGTTTGAATCCCGGTCGGATACAAAGCTTTTACTTTTGTTATTTATTTATTTATTTATGATCGATTGACCGTCTATTCCATACTAACCATTAAAACATACCTAATCGCTAGTCTATACTAGCGTTAAAATGAAAATAATGTTCAACACTGCCACATTTTTTCATCGGTTAAATTTTATCTTCGCCTAATAGCATGACTGAACGGTGAAGTATTGTTAGGTTATAAAAAGTATTTGCTTATTAATAATCTAGCGGATCGTCCTCGCTTTGCTCGGGCTTGTCCCGTAGTAGATATAAGTAGGTAGTTATTATCCAGCGTTAGCCATGTAATTTTTTTTTTTTTCTTGAATTTTTCCGATGTTTAACCTTACAAATCAAAGATCATCAAAATCGGTTCGCAGTTCTCAAGTTATAAATGTAGTAACAAACCCGACTTTGTTTTATATTTATATGTATAGATATGTGTACGATATGATTTTTGACAATATATCACAGTTTTTGATTAGAAATTAGGGAAGTCAGTACGACCTTGCCACAGAAATCTTAATTACCTTATTATTAAGATTTCTGTGGACCTTGCGTAGTGTATAAGTAATGTAGATATTATGATTTTAATTGTAAATTAATGTCAAAATTGTGCACACAGTGTGTTTATCTACACAGGTGGAGGAGCGTGGTACCTACTATGAAACATATTATGCATGTTAATAAAAATGACTTTAAACAAAGAATTGAACGAAGAATTTTTTAAATACTTTTTAAGCTATTGAAGATTCTAATGTTATTTTATTAGAGCGAAGTTATTTATTATTAGATTAAAGTTTTTTGATTTCATTAGTCGCCAGAAAAACGGACATACTTTGTATGTATTTATGTATTCAGGTCATATTGCTGGTCACGGGCCTCCCTATAATACGAGGGGGATCATGCCATAGTCCACCACGCTGGCCAAGTGCCGGTAGAGAGACTTCATATGTCTTTCGAAAACTTGCTAGGTTCTCTACATGCGGGTTTCCTCACGATGTTTTCCTTCATCGTAAGAAAAGTGTAATCATGTTAAAAATGATTCGCACGTGAAAATATCAGAGGTGCGGGATTTGAGCCCGCTTCACTTGGTTTCCCAAGCGAGCACGTTACCATTAGGCTACCACCGCCTACAAATAGTTTAGAGTAATATAATTATTTATAAGGTAATATTATATTGAATTAAAGAAAAAGATTACAAACTTGCTTTAATAACATATCGTATGTCCAATACAGGAGGGATTGAGCTTTTGCATTAAATTACTGGCTTTTCTATCACATTTCCATAATACCTCTATTACCACGATATTTGCATACGTTTCTAGTAATTACAAAGAGTATTAAAACCTATGATGTGTAATTATTTCATGTGGCTAGTTTTTATTTGCGTCCTTCATGGCAAGAAAACAAAGGAATGGGGTAAGAAAATAATCTACATTTTTAATATTTGGTTTATTGTGCTGTTTAAATAAACAATAATCTATAGTTATACATATAAGTATATGGCATTTCGAATTTAATCATATAAATAAGTAATCCTGTTAATTATAATAAATATTTATTGTACTCTATGTATATTCAATTATGTATAGCAATGTTACAAACATCGATATTTTTTTTTAATTTTAACAAATTAACCTAATCAAAGTCTAGTAAGGAGTCGTAAATTTGCCGTACAATATTTATACATATATAGTAAAAACAACATGAAAATAAACTATTCTACATAAAACTATTCTATTCTATGTATACTATACAAGAAACTATACGAAAGTTAAATACTCATGCAAAGAACGTAAAAATCTAACATTTACACTTAATATGCTGGAATTATTGGGGTTTCTAATATTGTACAATATCACAGAGTCACGTTACATACTGCTACTATTAGAAATATAATTTTAATACAGAAATAATATTTAAAAAAAACCATTTTGTTTCAAAATTAAAAGGATAGGTACTACTATGTATATACACACGAGCATTAAAATTTCTATATTGACGTACTGCGACAAAAAATATACCTATGAAGTGGTACAAGAGGTAGCGATGCATTTTTTATGCCGCTTAATTTTCAATGTAATCAGTGGATTAATTAACAATCCAAAAATTAAAATCTTCTAAGAATTAAAAGATTTATCATTAATATAAATCATTAGACTAATAATAAAACTGGTGGTGAGAAAATTCACATTATAACAAAATATTACATCACATTTAATGTTTAAACGATATCAACAATCAAAAGTAGTCAGCTGCGTGAGTAATGTTGGGTTATACTACAGTTGTTTGTAGAAACATGTATAAAAACATGGAGCAAAGTCATTAAAATTTAATGAAACTTGTGCATCTTATAGGAAATAAATAATGATGAAAACAATCAGCTATTCATTACAATGAGTTTGTTGAAAGTTTACATATTTACTGAGTACCTATAATATAAGGTAAAATCAATTTTATTATATGGCCATAATATTATTACCTAAAAACAAACTAATTTGTGATAGAAATTTAAATGATTACAATTTGCATCGGTACCTCTCAGACCAAAAATTTTGAGCATAAAGTTATAATATCTGATCATAGTTTCGACAGTTAAATATGGCTGGAAGCAAAAATTGAAAGAAACAATATATGTACACATCAACTTAAATATTTACTTCTATTATCTACATTTATTTTAAATCACGATACTATTTACATTTTTGTACAGCTACTTCGAGCTAAATGAACATAAGAACATTTAAAAATAAGTTACTTAATTTTCTTATTATAACATTGAAATATTCAATATTATGGAATATGGCGGCTATTAGAAAATATTTTCGCTATTTTTTTATATGCATCGAATAAATTAATACACTGACATTTTATATCTACAAAAATTTTGACTAGATTTATTTTATGTGCTTAATTTCCAGCTTTAATTTCTGAACTGGTCGAGTCCGCGAAGCAATCGTTTGATACGCCGCTGGTGACAGAACAATAACTGGCGGGAGAGCTTCTGTCACTTGAAGTTTTTTCTTGGCTGTATTCAATCATGCTACCACTTGGCTGACGAAGAAAATTCTGGAATCCGATCGGGTGCGAATTAACGATTTTATCAGGTTTTTTTAATAATTCTTCTATTGAATATGGATTCTTTTTTTTCTCTTTTTCACTCGGCCGTTTATCTTGCTCGTCCGTGTCGGGTCGGTCGGTACTGTCATCGCTTGCTTCTACAGAAATATGTTCGGAATTTTCTGATTTAACTTCTTCAGGATTTATTCGATTGAGAAGATCGCTGTGTAGATTAAGTGCATATGGAGCGAAGTTCTTACAGTCAGGGTATGGCATCATTACCCTTTGCCATGGAGATATGGGGTATGGCTTTAAGAGGCCTTGAGCTTGAACTTGATTCGCTAATAGCCATGATGTGGCTAACCGTCTGTCGTAAGCATGTGGTTCTGTGGGTTGAGGAACTCGTACCGAAGTATGAGCAAAATACGAGGGTGTTTGCTGTGGTAAAGGCGTAGGTAGCGTCGTCTTCATGTAATCCACCATGTTTGGTGGAATTTCGGGAGGCGGGAAAGGTTCTGTAAAGAAATAACAAATTAATAAGCAGTGTAATAATATTTCAATATACAATATTTTAATTAATATTACTGTTAATCCCTCAACGACCGCGGACACGCCGGCGTTACAGTTAACAATAGATTTCTTAGAAATTGACCTGGACAACTATAATGCATCGTCATTTCAATCCCTGAATAAATGTACGTATAAAAATATAACATGCATTTATGAAAGTGCTTTAATTACTAAATCGTAAAATTACGGCGACCATAAAGCTCATTATTCTAAAGCGTATAAAATCAGTGAACACGCATAATATAATCACCTGTATTATTTTTTACCACCATTTTTATACATTGGCGTATGTATGCATAGTATGGCGGCTGTTTCTTAACTTTATTGCTAATAAAAGACCATAATAACTATGTTAGCCTAAAAGGTGATTTTATTTTGCTATATTATTATAAACAAGGTGAACAACCGATACTAAGGCATATTATATCAGTCCATACTTAATATTATAAATGTGAAAGTATGTTTGTTTGTTTGTCCTTCTTTTACGTCGAAACGGAGTGACGGATGGGCGTATTTTTTTGTGTGGAGATAGTTGGAGGGCTGGAGAGTGACATAGGCTACTTTTTACCTCGGGAGATTATCTAATTCCTAGGGGAAAACACTATAACGAAACCCAAAAAAAAATTATGAATTACTTGAAACTTCGTACTCAATTATTAATGCTCTTCAATAAAATTAAATAAATACGTATCTTCGCATTTTTCGAAATTCATCCTATAAGAGAGTAAAATAGGGGGTGAAAGTTTGTATGAAACTATATTTTTTTAGAGATTTTTTTGTAGTTTTAGCGCGAGCGAAGTCGCGGCTTCTGCTAGTATTATATAATATTATGGATTTCTAGAAATAGATATTCGCCTAAGGTATGCTATAAATTTTTCCTACCCACCTTATTTAAACCTAAATTATTGCGACGATAAAGTAATTTTCGCTTTACGATTGCAATCTCTGGGTACTTCCTAAAATTATTTATCAATTGAACTTACTTGAAATCTAGTCTATCTAAGGTGTTTAGATAACCATCGAATGTTTGCGAAAATGAACACAAAAAAGCCTAGTAAATTTATGAAATATGTGATCGTGTCAGATATAAAACACCTGTTTTATGATTTTCGTTATTTATTGCATTATAATAATTGAACGATGTAATAATTCGTTAACCGCCTAATTTAACACAATTATCTTTAGAAAATTAATATGATTACACGTCTTTTTATCTATAATTTAATATAAGGGCTTATAAAGTACCAACTTTTTTTAAATTATGTATAATTTAATCATGTTGATTCTTACACTATCTATGTTAGTTTTAGGACAAAGACAATATATTAAAAATATAAAACTTTTATAGTAAATTCTACTTTATAGGTTTGTCGTATGTCATGCAAATATAATATATATATATATATATTTTTTGACGTCAAAGTTCGAATTTAGAATAAAAATCGATACATATATTGAAAAATTCTGAGTTGAATCTGTAGGTACATTAAATATTTTTTGAAAAATATTAATGAAACAGTTATTATTATGGATACAGCTGCCGAATGTATAGTTTTTAGAAATTTTGTCTGTCTGTCTGGGAACGTATCACGAGAAAACCACTGGACAGATTTTTATGAAATTTGGTATGATGATAGCTGGTTATCCCGGTCAACAAATCTCTGAGAAATCTTTACTAACCGTTAAAACATTTCTAGAGACGAACCCAAACGGAGCAGCCGAACAGCCTTAACAGCCGAACACGCTGCCAATATCTACTCATATGTTGGAATCTTGAAGAGTACAGACTTTATCCGTGACATAAGATGTCTTATGGTATTTAATGAATAAAACATTTTAAATCTTTACGTTGCACCTGGCTAATGCATTATCTATGCCATGGTTTAAGGTGTGCAATCGATTTTATGCCTTAAAATAAGAACTGTAAAATTCATTCACAAAACAAATACCACAAATATTCTTCTATAGAAATTGAATATTAATTATTAATATATAAATTTTTAATTACCTTATTTGATCATTAGATATATTTTATCGATTATTTAACACTGTCGAAAAATTCAAAATAAAACCGTGACAAAATCTGCAGACAATAAAGATAACTTTGGATTCGAATATTTTTGTTTTTAGGTACTACTACTAGCGGCTCACCCTCGCTACGCTCGGGTTCGTCTCTAATAATAAAATCAAATCTATCCCACGGGAACCGTACATTTTTCCGGGATAAATAGTAGCGTATGTGTTATTATGATGTATGAGCTATTTTATTGTAAAGTTTCATTAACATCCATTCAGTAATTTTTGCGAGAAAGAGTAACAAACATCTATACATCTACACATCCAGACAACCATACATCCCCACAAACTTTCGCTTGTATAATATTAGGTATAATAGTAGGCTTAGTAGGATTCGCTAAAGTTCATTATAAATCTAAGAAATCATTGTACTCGATTGTTATTTCGAACTCACCGTGGCCACCTCGCGCTTCATCTTCGCTCCATGCCAATCCACTATTTCTCAAGATCCTGTTCACAGATGACACAGAAGGTATGGAGTGGGGTTCGCACACTCTCGCACTAAGTAGCCTTTCACGGATTTCCCACGCGAACATGCCTGGATTTTCTTGCTTTAACCGAAGTATCTTTTTTACGACAGTTGGTGTGGCGACTTGCTGAAAATAAATGGATTTGTGCCATTAAAAGTTAAGAAGCTAATTTTATCGTGGCATTATTTATGTACTAATGTGGAATCGAATATCGAGTCGAAATCACATTATTTCTATCGTTTTTAGTTGTCAAAAAAAAGTCTGTTTTAGTGTAAAATAAAAATTATTACATCACACCACTATAATTATAAGTGTATAATAAATATTATATATGGCAATTCTCATTAAAACAGCAAACGATTTGTCAGTTAATAATTTTAACTCGCAAATAAACCGCAGTTAAAATTTAATCAAAGTTAATTCTTCACGGATAGTGTATAATTTAAAGAATTGCAATACTTATATAGTAATAAAACCACAATTATCACATGCACATGGCGGATACCAATGATGTAGGTATTTGCTTAATGGCTGTGTAATAATAACGTATATCCATTTGTCTCTTTATCAAGAAACGTCTTATTTAGCAGCGATAAAAAGTAATTTGTTTTTAATGTCGAAATGAAATTAAGATTTCAATGAGTCAAGTAACCAAAACTTATTCCATGTAACCTTATATTCTCTGTTCTTTTACGCAATGATATCTTCATACATTAAACCTACAAAGTAAAATTGTGAATGTTTTCGAATGAATTTATTTTTTTTGTCTTTGTGGACTCAATGTATGGCATATAGTATATAATATTACCATGTTTTATAATATTACCATGTTTTATAATATTACCATAAGAAACTGTTTGCCCATACATATAAATGTCGTCCTAACCGATTTCGGTTACTGCCACCAATCAACCAACAACAATAAGCGTGTACTCAGTCAATTATTTTGCAGAGAAGACAATGCGAAAGACCGTTAATAGATACAACATACTATAGACGGTGAAACATGCTATCCGAAAGATCCATACATCAAGTAATTCCCAACTCCGAACTGAAACTGAGTATTTTCTGGCAGAAAAACTCTGTCATTTTAATATTTTATCGGGACTCGAGGCTACGCTAGCCACCACGAAGAAGTTGACAAGGCAACATTACAAAGATGACGTAAGATATTTTAAAAAGTACATAAACAAATTTATTATTATAATATTTCTATACTATTATATTTTACAATATAATTATATTACTATATACAAAGATGCTTGGGGTATAGAAGTTTATTTTAGAGAGCGAATCAGAACAATTGTTGTAAAATAAAAGAAATAAAATTTTAAACTCTCAAAGTTTATTCGGCTGTAATTCGTAGGCGATAGGCCGCAACATTTAGTTTTTAAACGATTATCAAAACCATATGTCGAGAAATCCATTACGAATCTAACTTTTTGTAACTTCCTCATGCATGGTTTAAATAATTATAATACTTTTAAGGCCTGTCAAAAATAATGTGTAAATAGTAGCTTTCGAGACCGAGAGTGTTAAAGAACCTACAATGATCAAAAGGCGTTAATTTTGGCGGGAAACTAGTTATTACGCCATGAGATGCACAATCGATATCCTATTGAACGTTTTAACGCCGCCACCTTTTTTTATGCGTTTTTAAACTGATGGGTGCGCATCTCTACATATATAATTATATTTTTTTAGAAATTTTGCTGTCAAAATATTTAATAACCTTCTGAATTTGGATAAATTTAAATGTTCACTCTAGAGAGTTTAAATTCTCATGTGAATTTGAAATTTTAACTATAATTATGATTTTTAAATGATTTGCAAAAAAGTTTGATTTAGAAAAGAAAATTATGCTAAGAATACCTACGACATACATTTAAGGGTGTGTTGTGAAAATAAAAAAAAAAACAATTAAATAATGAAAAATACATTTACTATTCAGAAAAAACCTAAGTTATTCAGAAAAAAATAATAATAAATAAAATGAGATACATACCTACTATCAAAATATGCTTTCTACATTCTATTAGAGTTATCATTTTTTATCTTCATGAATAGAACAAAATTTGGGCAATACGTTTATTAACAATAAAAATACCAAAGTTTATTAGTGTAGGAATTCATATCATATATCTTGAACACTCCACACAGCAATATAGGGAAATGAAAGTCCGTGCGAAAGAACAGGTGCGGTCCGTAATGACTTGTTTAGTCCGACGGCTTTGCTCATTAGTCGTTGTGAAGTGGTATCGATCAGATTCAAATTAACTACTGTCTACTATCTTATTTTATCTATGTTTTTGGGGTTTGGTTATTAAGTGGTAGACAAGTTGCTTTAAACACTATACACTTTTTATGTCTCTACATGTAATCAGTTAAAGGGTTTTTTTCACTTTTTATCGGTCATTCTATAAACGTGTCTTCTCCATTCTACGCGATATTGGCGGAGTGAATAGCGCCCAAATGACACTCCTAGGATCCATTGAACGAAAGAATTGAATTGGATTGGATATTGTTATGTAGATATCTATAGTAATGAAGACAATTCAATTAAATACTTCTTAAATTCCAAAGCTGTTAATGTAATTAATTTTTATTGCTGCAGAAGTTGACAGACTCGATTGGCAAATTTGACGTTTCGTTTTAAGCTTATGAAAACCAACAATGTAACAGAACATTACATATTGATATCTATTAAAATAAGGTATACGTTAGAAAATAAAGAGGCATTACGGTAAACAAAGCTATGATGAAATGCGCAGTGGCGATGCGCGTGACCGTTCCGTTGGACGCGACGCTTTTTGCGCGCGCGCATCCATCATCGCTTGACACATCCAATATCGGTTTTTGCGATAGGCTCGCATTTAACTCAGCTAGTGGACAGTTTATATTGTGAACTACTTTAAGGAATAGTTTCTTATTTTAAGGTTTAGATTCTATTTTTTTTAATATACTATGTTCAATTAAATTAGTATTTCCAAAGAATACTCTCATAGTGTATAGATATGAACTGTATCTGAACTTAATATTTTAAATTTAGTACATTCTAATAAAAAAAACTACTTAGTAATAGTAAAATTAAAATCTTTAATAATAAAAGGTCTAATTGTTTGAGGTTCATATTTTATTAAATAATGCTTTTAAATTTTCTTCAAAACGGCAAATACATATTTGTACTAATATTCCTTTAGTCCACTCTTTTAGTATTTTTTTCAAAAAAAATATGAAGGAATCGATAAAAAATAATCATGTGAATATCAATCCTTAATAATTGTTATTAAATGACCAAATATCACATGTTTCTGTAGATTATATAACCAATTTAGAAATATCAGAATGCTTTTACGCCGTTGTACTTTTAATAAAAAAATATAAATAAATCTTATCATGCGTACGCAGCTCAACACTATTTCGCGCAATCCGCTACGCAACAAAATGGCGCTTGTAACTGTCAAGCGCGTGCACGATTAGCGTTTCTTATTACCGATTTCTATTAGACTTTCCACCTGATGGGGTGAAAGATAATTTGCCGGGGCGTGAGACCCGTTGCTTTAATGACGGATTGATTCGATATTAATTTGAGGAAGATTCTCCGTTATTGGCTTAATGGCTACAGGTGCTTGTCTAGGTGACTTTTGTAAAAAAAACGTCTTACACGACACCGTAGGCGCGTGAGTTCCGCAATGAAAGGTGAATATAGCCTTCCATTAAGTAATTGTGAAGGTCGATTGTAGATGTAATTAAACCATCATTATTTATTATATAGCTTTTAAAAAAGTCACAAATATAAATAGTTTTCTCAATTTTTCTTGAGCTTTTCAAATACATAGAAAGCTCACATATCTCTTAGCTGAATTGCGGTCTTATGCTATTTATTTGCCTACTATATCTATACTTATTAATATTATAAATGTTAAAGTGTGTTTGTTTGTTTGTTTTTTTATTTTAACGTTTTTTCCCGTGGGAATAAAATGTTCCGCAGTAAAAGTTTGCCTATGTCACTCTCCAGTACCCCAACTATCTCCGCACACAAAGCACGCCAATCCGTCGAGCTGTTTCGACGTGAAAGAAGGACCAAAATTGGTATGATCATAGCTGGTTATCCTGGTCAACATATAGGATGCTTTTTACTGCGGGAAAATAGCTCAACTCTGAGAAATGTACACTAAACGTTAAAACGTAAGTAGGGATGAACCCGAGCGGAGCAAGGGTGAGTCGTCAGTACAATATAAAAATGTAATAAAAGCAGACGTTTGTCATGAAATTTAAGCACCCCGAAATATCTTTTTAATAAATTATTATAATGAAAATAAAACATGATATTATGTTGACATTTTCCATGTAAGCATAATAATTTGCCTACTTACGTAAAATAAATTTATTCTGCCATTATAAAAGTTAATTACTAGTCATCACTTTTTTGTACATAAGCAAATCGTAACATTAGAGTCGTCCAACATAGAGCCTGTGAACCATCATTGAGGTTATATTACTTTAAAAAATTTGCATTTTAAATTTAATTCTCCATGTACTTCCTATTACTAATTGATAATTTGTTTCGAAAATAATAGGTATAAACAGTTTAAGAGCTTCAAAGTTTGAACCAGTATTTTGGAATTTTATATATTACGGCGATTGTACATACCTACGTAGGTATTATCTCTAATTAGGTGATAAGGCATTTTTTAAGTGTTAATCATGAATATTAATATTAACTATCTTCAAAATAAAAGATTATAATTCAAACCATTCTTCATTTTTACACCATCTAATTTTATATTTTGTCAGTTAAAATTAATTAAAAGGTCTCTTTATGATTTTATGCGTATATATCTACAGTGATTTAATACTAGGGCAATTTTTTTGATAAATGTAATTAATTAAATTAAATTGTGCGATAAAAATTAAATGAATAATTACAATGAAAAATACATTAAGATTACATTCACACATTTTTGAATACATATAGCATATATATGTACCTACTTCCCGTTCTATCTACCTACTATTTTTTAATACAAAGTAAATAGGTATATACGAATCACATACATGCCTAAATAAATATTGTACAGTACTAAGGGAACGTACAGACAGACAAAAATAGGCCCATTATACTA